GTAAGATAAGAACTTAACTGAATACATATTTTAGGCTTAAACATTATGCTTTGAAATATTTGAGAGCTAGGCTGAGCTACGTCCCCTGTTCCTGTTTTATACTTTTTACTAGTGCGTATTAATTACACAAAATGATGAGTTTATTGTAACATTTTCAAACATGTGTGGAGTGGACATTGATATATCCATTTCCTTTATTATCTTCGCTTGTCTCCCTCACTTACATGGTTTTCCGTCAACTGGCTTCCAATGCATTGTCATACTATCCCTAGGACATGTCACTGTGGGGAATTAATATGACAGTTCTTGGGATGACAAAGAACTCAGTTAAGATGACCAAAAAAAAAAAAGCCTTCTTAGTACAACTTTTTAAAAAAAACTGAAACACAAAACATCGTGTAGAGGTTATAATTGCTCTACTGTGAAAATCAACAATGAACACTCATTTAAGGAATGAGAAGGTACAGGTAGGAGAATCAATGTTAGCCTCGACTGCATAGTGAGTTTAGGGCCAGCCTCGGCTGTATGAGAGAGGGAGGGCAAAGGGAGAAGAAATAAATATTCTTCAGTGTACAAACTTAAAAGGAAAGAGAACGGAGCACCAACTACGTTATCTTTGATTCTTAGCATATTACAATGAGTTGTGGCGTCCTTGTGTACAAACCAGTTAAAACTGGCTGGCTATGCATCGACTACGTTACCAGTGCCTAGAAGACCAAGGCAAGAGAATCAAGAGTGCAAGGTTACATGGCAAACCCAGTTTTATATGACAAAAAAATTAAATGAAACCCCCAAAGAAATGAAAGAGCTACAATGTATTCCCCTGAGGTGAGAAAAAGTTATTGAGCTAGGTGTTACTGGCTGGCAGGAAATGTTCTATCTCCATCTCCCGAGTGCTGGGATTACAGGTGTATGCACCAGTAGTGCATTTGAGTAGTGGTCTCATTTGCCATCATTTTGGGATCTCTCCCTTCCTCCCTCCATCCCTTCCTCCCTTTCCCCTTGTGTCTGTATGTGCGTGTGTGTGTGTGTAGAACACCTGTGGACTCCAGCAGGGTGGAACAGCTGTTTGCATACCCATGACTAAAGATTGTGTCTTCCTCTGTAGGGGAAGGCCATATTCTCTGTCCAGGCACACAGCTTCAGGAGGGCCACATAGGAGCAGTGAGGGAGGAAGGGTACATACACTTAACTAGATTATCTGAATCAGCCCTAACAGTCAACGTGTTAGCAGAGGTCACATCCTATCTGTGTGTTGTGAGACACACTAGTAAAAAGTATTAAATAGAAGCAGGGGACGTAACTCAGCCTAGCTCTCAAACATTTCAAAGCATAATGCTTAAGCCTAAAGTATGTATTCAATTAAGTTCTTATCTTACTCATAACTTTATAAATGGATAGCAATCTATATTTACTTGAATGACTCACTGAGATTAAATAAAAAAAACTCACTGTGTTAATAAATTGAATTTATGATTACTAGCCAGGCATGGTGGCGCATACCTAGATTCCCAGTACGTGGGAACAAGATGCAGGAAGATCAAGACTGCACGTTTATCCTGGACTCATGTAGCCCAGACCGGCCTTAAACTTACTACATGGTCATATGATGGTCTTGAATTCTTAAACGTCCTATCTCCATCTCCCGAGTGCTGGGATTACAAGTGTATGCACCAGACTTGGCTTGTCAGTCCCCATTATTCACCTCATCATTAGTCTTTATACTTGAGTATATCAGTCTTTTTACTGCAAAATTCGTTTCCTTTTTCTTTTTGTTTTTCGTGACAGGGTTTCTTCGTGTAGCCCTGGCTGCCCTGGAACTCATTCTGTAGACCATGTTGGCCTAGAACTTAGAGAGCTCTAGCTGCCTCTGCCTCCAGGGTGCTGGCAAAATTCTTTTTGGCTAAATCGCCAATGGCACCTTTTGGCTTGTTGTTTCCTACATCTTCAGGAATAAACATGGTAGCCTCAATGAAAATATTTTGTTCACTTGTCCTTCACCAATTTCTAGAATACTGTCTCATTTCAGGGGACTATCAACATCACACACCATATCCATATTCAACTGAAGGCCTGGAGATGTAGTCCGGGGGTACCATACTTGCCTAGTTTGTGCAAGGCCCTTGGTTCAAGTTTCATTCCTACCCACCAAAACGTCAGTTGCATCACAGATGAAGATAATCATATGGATCAGGGCCACTGTTGAAAATATCTTAACAGCAGGGCATGGTGCCTCATACCCATAACGCTAACACTTGTGAGGCTAAGACAGGTAGCTCGCTGTGAGTTCAAGGCCATCCTGTGCCACAAAGTGAGGTGTCTCAAATAATAATAAACAAACAAAAGTAACAGCACAATCATTTCCTCACACCTACATCAGAGTCCTATCATTCAGTTCTATTCAAAGGTAAAATGGACTTCATTAATGTTTAAAGTTACTTTCTGTTTCATTGACTGAAGCATTTTAAACATGCTCTTAGCTTCATTTCATGATGGTACATTCCCATTGTTCAAAGTGCTACTATTAACATCAACTTATTTAAAGCATTTCCTTTAGATGTGAAACTTTTAACATCATCTTATTCCTATTTAAAAACCTTCAAGATAAATAGAAATAATTGGTGTTTAAAAAATACAAAACACTCAGTAAACACCTGTAAACATGATTTTTTTTTTGCAAAAAGTCCTAATGTATTAAAACCTGTATTTAATCGAGTGAGGAACAATAGCCATGAGGATGAGCAAAAAATTGCACACAAATGAAAAAGGTGACATTTGTTGGCATTCTCTCCCCCACCCACACACTTTAATTAGAATGTAAAGTTGATGAGGGCTAATCAGGTTAAATACAAAATCAGTTTTTATTCAGTTAGCTTTTGTTTATCTCACCATTTCTCTTCCTACGCCTTCCCAACAAATTAAACACCCAAGGATTCCTGTGCAAAATACACAGTCCTTGGATCTGTGGTGTAGCTAACCACATTGATTTTCAAAATTGCTTTCATAGATGACGTTTCCCTCCTCAGTAGAGACTAGCAATTACGGAAAGTGTTATTTAAAACTAGTACGGCCATTAAGAACCTAATCTTTTACAGTACTGGAGACCAGACACAGGTTCTCAAGCCTGCTAGGCAAGTGCTTTCCTACTGAGCTGCACTTCTAGATCTAAGCACACAATTCCTATTTGCCTTGGTGGCTAATTGAATAATTATACTTCATTAGAATCTATACTTTTATGTGTTCAATAATTTCATTTGTTGTTCCCATAAGGAAATTCAGATCTCATGTGTTAAGCAAAATCAAGGTACCAGGAATGGAACTTGGTTTAGAGTTACCCCCTAGCATGAGCAAAACCTGGTTGTTTTCTCACAGCAACTGAGAGGTGGAGGCAGGAGGCATGAAGGCCACCCTGGACTACAGGAGACCTTGTCTCAAACAAACAAACTAAAAATGAAGGAGAAAAGTTTTCTATGTACTAATACCTTAGAGCTATATGACTGGATCTTTAGCATAGTTTTTGTTTGGAAAAACATAAAGTAATGCTGCAATGAATTGAAGGGCACAGGAATCAAGCATGCAAGTTGGATAGAAAAGCAGAATATTGGGAAACTGAAAAAAATGGCAAATAGGAGATAGTCTACATTCTACTATACAATTCATTATTGATCTAACATTATTGATCTCTACTCCCCTCCCCTACCATATGGGAGAAAATCTTGAACTATATAAATCATTTAGCAGAAATCTACTAGAAGTAATTAGAGAGTTAGTATCAGAAAGTAATGGGTTGTGAGGGCTTCTTTTAGCAGATATGTTAGAAGAGGGTCCAACTAGCCGGGTGGTGGTGGCACACACCTTTAATCCCAATCCCAGCACTGGAGAGGCAGGGGCAGGCAGATCTCTGTGCGTTCAAGGCCAGCCTGGTCTACCAGTTCCAGGACAGGCTCCAAAATTACAGAGAAACCCTGTCTTGAAAAACCAAAAATAAATAATAAATAAACAAACCTGTTCAAATGGATGTTTAATAATAATAATAATAATAATAATAATAATAGTGATAATGATAAACTGGAGACGAGAATGGGGAACACATGTGGATATCAATTACAGGCTTTAACATGCATGAGCAAGAGCTTGGCCTGTTACAAAGAAAAATCCTGTCCCCAAAAGCCTCAAAAAGAAAGAAGGAGAAAGAAGATCCAGTCCTACTGCTATTTCCATCAAGAGTGCAAGTGTCTGGATTAGAAGTACAAGCTACTCGCGTTTCAGCATTCAAGAAACACTGCTTTATGTGCACAGAACACAAAATCCATGATGCAAACAGTTAGCATTTAGTCATAAAAAAACAGTTTCACGAGAGCCGTATGAGAAAAATCAACATATCCCTTCTATTTCTCTTTCTACAAGTAAAGCACACTTTGTAAGTCATGCTTTTTATTAAAAGTCTCTACCAACTGTAGTTATGGGTTTGGTCACTTTGAGTCAGATTTTCGTGAATCCCAGGCTTGCCTTGAACTTTCTATGCAGATGAGGTTTATCTTGAAGTACTGGTATCACAGGTGTACACTGCTCACGCTTGTTTATGTGGTTCAGAGTCTCATGCTTGCTAGGCAAGCATTCTTCCAACTGAGCTACATTACCAATCCAGCTTTTTTGTGCGCTAGTGGGTATTGAACCTGAGGCTTCATGCACACTCACCATGTTCTTAGCCACTGAACTATGTATAGTCCTAGATCCAAGTATGCATTTTTATGTTTCTCTAAACTTCTTAACCAAATGCCTATGCAACCCTCCTAAAAGTGTATCCATCAAACATTAAAAATACTCACACTAGGGAAATGAACCAAAGTTGATAGCACCCATTTGTAATAGTACTTTGTAACTTTTAAATATAATTATGTATTGTATTTCGGGATATATACAGTAGTCACAGGATACTTTAAAACAAAGTGAAAAGTGTCCAATAATTAGTTGTTTATAACTCCCATGTTAATACTCACCAAACATTTTGTTGACAGCTGGGAGGATTGAGGAGGTTGTAAGATGGTAATACCTGCAAATTTTACTTGGCTGATCTTCATGCTCCATTTTACCTATGACAAAAAACAGCAGGTCAGGGCAGATATGTCTTCTGTAATGTAATTTGAATTGTGAAAGTAATGTTTGTTCATTGTTATTTATTGACTTGTCAAACATGGAACACGTTAATAGAAAGGCAAATTTGAAGCCAGACATGGTGGTTCACACCAGAGGTTGCAGCACAAACAATGCCATGATTTTCAGACCAGTGCGGGCTTTAGAGTGAGATATTTCATTACTTTTAAAAAATAGCTGCCATTTGAATGGATACTGAAACTATGGTATATAGCCAACACAATGTATTATTCAGCTGTAAGTAAAAGTGAAACCATGCTATCTTCATTAAAATGGATGGACTTGGGAAGTATGTTAAGCGAGGGGACTGAGACGCCAAACAAACAAACAAAAAGCATATGTTCTCCTTTATATTGTCTCCTTGGCTATAAGGTACAGATGTGTACATCTGAGCAGGTATAAATGTGGATATAGTATACGATCTAGAAAGAAATCCAAGAACGGACACTATTAGGTGATGAGAACGAATGGAGCCAGCAAACTCTGGATGCATGACTTCTGAAAGCAGATACAAAGCTAGATTCTAACATTGCAATGCCTTTGTAGTTTTCTCTGTGTGGTAGATAGGGAATGAAAATATAATTGATAGTGAAGGCATTCGTCCTAAGGCACAGCACCAATTCTTCAGAATGGCCAGTTTTGACTGTGATTAAAGTTTGGGACTTGGCAAGTGTTTGGGTGCTGTGGTGGTTGGAAAGAAAATGGTCCCCAAGGGCATTGGCACTCTTAGGAGGTGTGGCCTTGTTGGAGGAAGTGCGTCACTGTGCGTGCAGGCTTTGAGGTCTCTTTTTTCTCACGTCAGTAGATTTCCTGTTGCTAGCACATCTGCCTGCATGTTGCCATGCTCCCTGTCATGATGGTAATGGACTGAACCTCTGATCTGAAATTGTAATCCACCATCTCAAAAATGGTTTCTTTGTGAAAGCTGCTATGGTCATGATGTCTCTTCACAGCAATAGAAACCCAAGCCAAGTGCCTTCCTTAAACTAGCTACGTGATGTTGTTATTTTTGGCTTTGTTTATTATATATTGTGAGTTAATTAGAACAAAGTGATTTATTTTTAAGAAAGTACCATTTTAGTATTAACCAAGGACTATAACATGACTATTTATTTTTTCATTCATTCATTATTCATTCATTCATTTTGAGAGTGAGTTCACTCTGTAGCCCAATATAGCCAGAACTCACTCTGTAGGCCAGGCAATCTTGGATTATAAACATGTGTCATTATACTTAGCTTAATTTTCGAAATAAAAATTATAACTAGATGAGCTCTCTTATAGCACAAAATGAACAGCATAAACATGTTCTAAAATACAACATTTGACTGGAAAGAATGAATAACAATGCTAGGCCGGGGGTCTAACTCTGTGGCAGAGCATTTGCCTAGTATAGGTGAGGCTCCATGTTTAATCCTATTTCTACATATGTAAAAGCAGAGTTGCTACAGTCATTACGTTGATGTAAGTGTTAACTTTTGCAGTTTACATTCTTATAACAGTATCGTCCCATGAGGAAAACTGATGCTAGTGTCCACACCATCTCAAGACGAGTACATGTGAACGATAAAGCACTAAGGCTACCACTTCAAAATGTCCCAAGAAGGGCTTAGACGGATTGTGCAGGGTAGGAATATTTGCCTAGCATTCGAAAGGCCCTGGATTCAATTCTTAGCAACACAACAAAAGAGCCCGTGAGATAGAGATTCAATAGACCCTCTTCCCATGAACCCACAGCTCCTTCAGCACTAAAGAACTGCCTCATCCTGTTCCTTGCTAGACAATGCTTACACTGCTATAGAAAAAATGACCCGTTTCTCCCTTTTTACTTAACTGTGAAACATGGAAAACAAAAAAAAAATGCATTCCTCATAAAAGAAAATGTGAAATAAGCTTTGGTAATCTTAGCATTTAGTTTAAAAGGAGTATTTTACAGCAGTCCAGTTTCTTCAAATTCCCTGGACTTGCCAATTGAAGCCTTGGCGGCTCTTGATTACCCTCGGGGAATGAATTGCTCCTTATCACACACACTTGAGAGACCAATCTTAATCTCATGTTCTTGTACTTTCCAATGTCCTCATTCTTTTTTAACAGTTTCCCCAACCAGAGCCTTCTTTTTGATTTTTATATCATCTTTCCCTGTATTTCATTTATCTTGAAGGGCTCCAAATCAGACAGAGGTTGTTTCCTAGGTAAATATTAATATTCCAAAATACACTAATGAGATTAGATTTCAACTTACCTGCTTGAGTTTGATCACCAATGACCAAATTAATTTTGATCAGATTTGTATGGCACGTGCCTGAGAGAGTCTGACTTAACATACACACTATGGGGTATATGCAGGATTGACTTTGGAATTCCCTTAGGGATACACAAACAAATAAGACAGTTGTCTGCTAGAGTAGCAAACCCAAACAAGTTTATGAAGTGCTGAGGATTGAACCCAGAGCCTCATGCATGCTAGGCCAGGATTCTAAGCTCAATGGTACTGCTAGACCCTAAGAAAAATTGTAATCTCATAAAATTCTAAGAAAAAGTCACCATGTAATAAAATATTTTGTGTAGAACTATTTTTCAAAGAATTCTTAGACTGTTGGCATATTTGAATATTTCTCTTTTTTGAGAAAATATCTCATTCAGTAGCCAAGGCTGGCTTCAAATTTGCTATATAGCTGAGGATGACCTTGAAATCCATACCCTCCTGCTTCTACCTCCAAAAGGCTGAGGTTATAGGCATGCAGGCACCATGTACAGCCAGATTTTACCTAGTCTTGTTCTTAGAATATAAAAAGCACATCTGAGTTGGGTACATTGTCAGGAAGAATGTTATTAACTATTCTAAAATACATAAACCATTGTGATATATGCCAACCTTCTCCCTATATTTTTCTTCTCTTTCTTTACCTTAATTGATTTTCACAAACACAATGTTCATTTCCTTCCTATTTACCCTTTCTCCCATCAACAGTAGTTAAACTTGTATAAACATGTAGTTCAGTAGTTGTATTTCCAAAAGAAGAACATAGCTTAGCGAGATTAACACTGGAAAGTGTGCTGTGTGCTGAGCTGAATATTCTCCAATGCACAGTTATGAAGAAGTCTACAATTTTCAATATGCCTTTAAATATATTTCTGTTGGGAAAAATGAAAGACCTCTAGTGACTTATCAAACATATTTTAAAAATAAATGCTTTGAAAACAATTTTTGAAGGTTAAAGCAATTCTTGGCATTTAAGAGCACGCCATGCACTCGCAGAGGGACAGAGCTCAGTTCCAGAATCCATGCCAGGCCACTCACGAGCACCTGTGACTCTAGCTCCATGGTCCTGGTATTTTCTTCTTTCCTCTGAGGACAGCAGTCACATGCATATACTTCCCCACAGATATGCAGAACGAGAGGGAGAACTAGACAGTGTGTAAATATAGTCCTCTCAGGGATGAACTTCCAAAAAATTAAACATTTAAAATTTAAAAAAGTTTTTAGTCAGGTTTGGTAGCAAACATTTTAATTCCAGCATTTGGGAGGCAATGGCAAGTGGATCTCAGTCGGAAGCCAGCCTGAGCTACGTACCAAGTTCTAGGCCATCCAGGGCTACATAGTGAGACTATGGTCTAACAGAATAAAAACAATAACAATAACCAAGTTAAAAGGAAAAAAATTGAATAACATTTGATATCAGATAATTTTACAAAATAATTCAAAGTTATATTTATTTCTTATCAGAATGGAAAGGTACCTTTCCTTTTTGATGTTTCCAGAATGCTTGGTCTAACAGTCCTCATGGTCCTGTGAATTCCAAAATAAAGTCATCATGATTATTGCAAGAAAACTTTTAAACAAAATCAATTGTGATCTCATTATAAACACTTAAGTCTATGTACTAATGAGAACTCTGTGTACTATATAATATCACATCACTGCATTGCCCTTCTCGAAATATTAATATGAAATAAGATGAAAAATCAAAGTTCTTGCAGTGCTGGGGATGGAACCCATGACCTCTTGCATGCTAGTCAAGCACTGTGGAGCACTGCCACTAAACTGAAGAGCCCCAGAGATATTTTCTTTCAAGTATTTTAGAAAGCTGAGGGTGTCAGTCAGTTGCCATAGTGTTTTAGCCAGATGGTAGATGCTCTGGGTGTAAACCCCAGCACTGTGTAGACTAGACACGATGCAGCACACCTGTAAGGCCAGTACTTAGGAGGTGGAGGCTGAAAGATCAAAAATGTAAGGCTATCCCCTGCTACAAATTAAGTTTGGGGATAGCCTGGACTACATGAGATTGTTCTTACAGTAAACAAATAAAGTGCTATAGATACTTATGAATAAATTTGAACTTGGTCAGAGAAAAATTATGGTCAAACCAGGGTTAGTGGTTTGCCGAATTCACCACTTGGTCACTGGATTTTTATGTTTCGGTGTATAAAATGATAAATTAAAATGAATGATATTTTAGTTTCACTAAAGCAAAGTAATTTCATTTTTACAGAACTTGAAACTCTACTTTCCTTTAAGCTATCGGAATACTTACTTGGGGGCCTGAGATAAATTCAGTGATAGAGTGCTTGTCCTGCACGCATGAGACCCCGAGTTTTATCCCCAGCATCGTGAAAAAAATTTATTTTACAAGCAGTTTAGTATTTTCAGACAACATGAATTTAAATAGAAATATTGTCACATAGCCTGATAGGGCAAGCCTACCATCCAAGTTATCAAGAGCCAAACCAGGAGGATGGCAAATTCAAGGCCAGTCTGACAGACACAGTGAGTTCAAGATTACCGTGGGCAATTTATCAACAGCCTGTCTCAAACAGTAAAATGAAGGCCAAGGAGATAGTTTACTGGTAGATTGTTGGACTAGTATGCATAAGACCCTGAGTTCCAGCTTTAAGAAAAGGAAAGGAAAGGAAAAGAAAGAAAGAAAGAAAGAAAGGAAGGAAGGAAGGAAGGAAGGAAGGAAGGAAGGAAGGAAGAAAGAAAGAAAGAAAGAATGAATGAATTTGAAAGAGAGAAGAGAGAAAGAAAATGGCCACATATGAGTTAGCCATGGTGGTTCACACCTGTAATCCCAGTACTTGGGAGCCCAAGACAGGAGGATCATCACAAGTTCAAATCTGACCTGAGCTAGAGAGAAAGACTTTGTCTGATCAAACAAAACAAAATAGAAGCAATAACAAAAAAAAAGCTGAAACCATCACACGGACCTGTGAATAAGGCTTGAAGGCAAACCACTGCAATTCACACACATTTGCAAGGATGGAGAAAAATCCCCATTAAAACCAAATTTGAATACAGAGTTTTAAATCCCTACTTTTCTCAGTGGCTTTCTAGGGTATGCTGGGATGATGAGAGAAGGCTGAGTAGAAAACATCACAAGGGAATTAGCATGAGGACCACTCTCAATCTTTATTATGACTGTAATTATACAATTGTATGTCATTCCAAAATTAGTTCAACTATATATTGAAAAGCTGCTGGATTCAGTTGGTAGCAAATAACATCTTTAAGAAATGAAAAAAAGGGTAAAATACTTAACAGGTCACTTTATGTTTGTGTTTGAAACAGTCTCACTATGTAACCCAAGCTGGCCTCTTACTTGAGATCCTCCTGCTTCAGTCTTCTGAGTACTGAGATCACAGGCATGTGCCACTCACTATGCTTGACAGGAAAATGAACCCACAGAATCGGGTATATACAGTCATATATATTCCCCTAAAGACTTGAGTGGGTGACTATTAATATCCATTAACATTTCATGGGACATAGGCTTTTAAGCACTCCTTTCTTACCTTCCCAGGTTCCTTGGTGAAAGAAGCCATTGGAGAGATATGAATTTGTTTGATGCTCCTTATAACAGATGGTTGCATGGTGGTGGTGTCATTCTGTGTAAAGAAGAAGTGTACAATTGTAGCACCGGGTGCATGCCATTCAAGCCCTTGGGAGAAATGCCTGTTGATGAGCAGGGGAGTACTTAGTACAGGATCACTGGGCTACAGTGAGGGGCTCTTAGCACAAAATCAGTGGAGAACCCAAGATTCGTGTCAACAAAGTAAGAGTACTCTTGATCTTTTGGAGGAGAAAACCACTTGGTCATTGAGGTGCTTACTTAGTACCCCCAAAAAAGCATTGTGAACACTCAATAGTGAACAACATATACAATACACTCAGCCCCTAAAATTAATGTCTTCCTTATGGTTGGACCTGAAAATTATAAACTAACATACATATTTGTGCATATTTCATTTGTATCGTAATTCTCACTGAATTATTTTTGGTCCTTTCCTGCATAGTGTTACTCTCCATAATTAGGGATTTTAAAATTCATTCTTTTCCAAAACTGGAATCAAGTTAAACTTGTATAGTATGTGTTCTCTTCCAACTCCCAAAGCTTAGGTTCTCTTATTCACTCATGCCAACACCTAAAGTAATTAGAATCTTCTCAGTTACGGAACTCCAATAGCATCTACAAACTGAAGCCCGAAGAAGGCCAAGGCACCAGAGGTTGTCTCCTCAACTCCTCAGCACTCACCTGGCCAGTGACTTCAAAAGCTACTCTCAAATGAGTACCAGGTGCCCATCTAAGGCATCTTTCAAAGAAAAAGATGTCTTCTGCTAATAACCCATTTCCACATCTACTGACTTCTAAGTCTAGAAATTGACATTAACCAGACTCCCCTACTTGAATTTCAGCTCAATTCTTGCTTTGTCATGGATGGTCACAGAAAAGAAGAGTAAAAGTCATACAACAATCACAACTAAAGACTGTTTGTTCAAACTGTTAGTGGAAATATTACAAATTATTGAAATAAAGGTCATATTAGCCTAGTAAATATACTCCTTAACACTCTAACCTAGAGAGAATGCCTGCACTGATTAGACCAAGGGGTGAGTGGCTGGCCTCCCAGCTGGACAGAGCAGTATCTAGGCCCTAGGCCCCAAGGCACACACCCCATGCCCCTCCCCCACCCATTGCAGCCATACTAGCCAGTCAGCAGGAAAGGCTCCTACGATCTGGTTTCTCCACCACCACCCCCATCACTCCACCTCCCAAACCCACCCATCAGCCCTGAACTCAGCAGCTGCCCGAGACTCACTGCCTGCACTGATAGGACCAAGAGGCACAGACACTCCTGCACTGACTGGAGAAGATGGGTAGACACCAGTGCAAGAATACATTCAACAACCTAAAGAATAATATGGCACCACCAGAACCTAGTAGTTCCACAACAGCAAGACCTGAAAAATCTCAGCATAGAAGAAGGAGGAGAAAATAACCTTACAAGTAACTTTGTGAAGATGAGAGAGACCTTTAAAGAGGAAATGAAAAATTCTCTTAAAGAAATCAAGAAAAAGACAAACAAAAAACTGGAAGAAATCAATAAATCTCTTAAAGAAAGCAAATAAAACCAAGAAAAAGCAATCAAACAAGCAAAGGAAAGAGTTCAAGGCTTGAGAATTGAAATAGAGGCAATAAAGAAAATACAAACTGGGGAAATTATGGAAATGGAAAATCTGGGAAACAATCAGGAACTATAGATGTAAGCATAACCAACAGAATGTAAGGGAAGGATGAGAGATCTCAGGAGTTAAAGATACTATAGAGGAATAGATTCATTGGTCAACGAAAACATTAAAGCCAACAAAGTCATAACACAAAACACCCAGGAAATCTGGAACACCATAAAAGGACCAAACCTAGGAATAATAGGAATAGAAGAAGGAGAAGAATCCCAGCTCAAAGGCACAGAAAATGTATTCAACAAAATCAAAGAAGAAAACTTTTCCAACTTAAAGAAGAAAATGCTTATGAAAGTACAAAAAGCTTACAGAACACCAAATAGACAGGAACAAAACAAAAAGTCCTCTTGCCACATAATAATCAAAACACTAAATATAAAGAAAAATGTTAACAGCTGCAAAGGAAAAAGGCCAAATAACATATAAAGGCAGACCTCTCAGAATTATGCCCGACTTCTCAATGGAAATAATGAAAGCCAGAAGGTCCTGGACAGATGTGATGCAGACTCTAAGAGACCATGGATGCCAGCCCAGACTACTACTATACCCAGCAAAACTTTCAGTCACCATATATGAAGAAAACAAGATATTCCATGACAAACCCAGATTTAAACAATACCTGTCTACAAATCCAGTCCTACGGAAAGCACTAGAAGGAAAACTGCAACCCAAAGAAGTTAACAGCATCCATAAAAGCACAGGCAATGGACAATCCACACCAACAGATTTCAAAGAAGGGAAACACACACATTACCACCAAAACATAGTAGGAATCACTGGTCATTAATATATATTAATATCAATAGACTCAATTTGCTTATAAAAAGACACAGGCTAACAGAATGGATATAAAAACAGGATTCATCCTGCTGCTGCATATAAGAAACATGCCTCAACCTCAAAGACAGACATTACCTCAGAGTAAGGGGTTAGGAAAAGTCTTTCCAACCAAATGGACCTAAGAAGCAAACTGGTGTAGCTATCCTAATATCTAACAAAATAGACTTCAAATTAAGGATAATCAAAAGAGATGAAGAAGGACATTTCATATTTACCACAAGAAAAATCTATTAAGATGAAATCTCAATTCTGAACATCTATGTCCCAAATATAAGGGCACCCACATATGTGAAAGAAACAATACTCAAGTTTAAATCACACATCAAGCCCCACACACCATCTTACACCTGTCAGAATGGCTAAGATCAAAATCACTTAGGACAGCTTATGTTGGAGAGGATGTGGAGTAAGGGAAACACTCATCCATTGCTGGTGGGAGTGCTAACTTGTACAGCCACTTTTTAAATGAGCATGGCAGTTTCTCAGAAAATTTGTTATCAATCTACCTCAAGATCTAGGGGCATATACCCAAAGGATACTCAATCATACTCAAGGACATTTTCTCAACAATGTTCATAGCAGCATTATTCATAATATTCAGAACCCAGAAACAACCTAGATGTTGCTTAACCAAAGAATGGCTAAAGAAAATGTGGCACGTTTGCACAATCAAGTATTACTCAGCAGTAGAAAGCAATGACATCAAAGGTGAGGTAACCCAGACTCAGAAACACAAACACAATATGTACTCACTCATAAACAAAGGATAACCAGACTATAATCCACAGCTCCAGAGAAGCTAGGTAACAAGGCAGACCCTACGAGAGTTGCATGGATCACCCTGGGAAGGGAAATTAGACAAAATCTCCTGGGTAAACTGGGGATGAGGGGAGACAGTAGATGGGAGGGGATGGGGGAATAAGAACATGAGGGAACGGGAATGGAATGGTCAAGTTGGGGGAGGGATGGAGTGGGAGAGCAATGAAAGAGAGATCTTGATTGAGAGAGCCACTATCGGGTCAGGGAGAAACCTGGTGCTAGGGGAATTCCAAGGAATCCACAAGGATGACCCCAGTGAAGACTCCTAACATCAGTGAAAGGGTGCCTGAATTGACCTTCCCCTGTAACCAGATTGGTGAATACCCCAACTGTCATCCTAGAGCCTTCATCCAGTAACTGATAGAACCAGATGCAGAGATCCACAGCCAAGCACCAGCCTGAGCTCCGGGAATCCACTTGAAGAGAGGGGGGAGGGAATATATGAGCAGGGGAGGTCAGGATCATGATGGAGAAATCTACAGAGACAGCTGAACCAAGCTTGTGAGAACTCATGAACTCTAGACCAACAGCTGTGGAGACTGCATGGGACCAAACTAGGCCCTCTGCATGTGGGATACAGTTGTGTAGCTTGGTCTATTTGGGGGATTCCTAGGAGTGGGACCAGGTACATCCCTGGTGCATGAGCTGGCTTTTTGGAGTCCATTCCCTATAATGAGATGCCTTGCTCAGCCTTGATGCAGAGGAAAAAGGCTTAGTCCTACCTGCACTTAATGTGTTGGGCTTTGTTGACTCCCAGTGGAAGGCCTTACTCTTTCAGAGGAGTGGATAGGGAGTGGGATTGATGGGGAGGCGAGGAGGGACAGGAGGAGGGATGGGAGGGAGAACTGCGGTTGAAATATAAAGTGAATAAAGAATAAAAATTTAAAACCAACCAACCAAAAAAAAAAAACCACTCTAACCTACAGTTGCTAAATTATATAGAAGGGAATACAAATGTTTTTTTTTTTCACCTAAGCGCCTTAGCACAAATGAACTTGTGTGTGTGTGTGTGTGTGTGTGTGTGTGTGTAAGTGCATGCACCCACATGCACACATGGAGCCCAAGGTCAAATTCAGATATTTTCTTCAATTACTTTCAACATTATTTTTGAGACAGGGTCTCTCATAAATCTGGAGTTCACGAATTCATTTAGACTGACTGGCTAGCAAGCTTTAAGGAACTTCCTGTCTTTGTTCCCAACCCCTGCCAGGGCTGATATTATAGGCACACACTACTATGCCTGCGTTTTTTACAGGTGCACTGGGAATCAAACTCTGGTTCTCATGCTTGTATGGCAAACACTTTACCAATTAAGCCAAGTCCTTATCCTCAACCTTTTGTTAAAGACAGGGTCTCATGTAGCCAAGCTGGCTTCAACTTGTAGTCAAGGATGACCTTGAACTTCTGATCCTCTTCTAACTACCCAGTGCTGGCAACAACTGGACTTTTCTTGAGTTAATCAGTAAGGAGAGCAAGCCAGTCCATTGGTCCGCAACAGAGTCAACCTCAGGAAGTATCTCTTTCTCCGTGTTTCTCTCAATGTCTCTCTCCTCACGGTGTCTCGGTCTGTCTGTGTGTGTCTCTCTGTTTCTGTGTCTCTGTGTGTCTCTCTTTGCTTCTCTGTTTTCCTCCTCTGTCTGTCTGTGTCTCTATCTCCCGCCCTCATCCTCTCTATATTGTCCAGGCTGACCTGGTATTTCTAGAGTCAAAGCAACCTCCTGTCTCTGCTTTTCCAATATGGCACCTCACAACTCCCAGGTACATCTACAGTTTGGGGTCAGAAACTATTTCAGCCTCTCTTTCAGGTAATGACATTTATTTTTATGGGTACCACCATACAATGTTTCTTTTGAAGCATTATTTTGCAATTGTTGTGTATATGTGTGGACCTGAGTGAGTTTCTGTGCATCACATATGTACAGGAACCCGCAGGGGTCAGAAGGGGTGGCAGATCTGCTGCCACTGAGGTTACAGGAGGTTGTGAACTGCCATGTGGATGCTGTTGACACAACACTATGTTAGTGAAAATAGAAATTTTCTACAAAATTAAACTGTGAATACTGTACCATAGTTATATTTGTTTCCCAACTCTGAGTTATCTTCAGTGCAGCATGCATCTCCCTGCAGAAGAAAAGAAATTATTAGTGTTGTAGTCGGCCCATCTGAAGGAGAAGATACAACCGCACATACAGATGATCAAAATAGTAACTGAAAGTATGACACTCACCGTTCATGCATTGCTTCTCTGCTTGCTATATCCATCCTTTCTTCCTGGAAGGTAAGGAAATAAGAATAAACCAAGGGCCCAACTCCTACTGCTCTACAAGATTAGACAGAAGATAATACTAGTAATGTACATTTGAAGTAAATATTACAGAAATGATGAAATATTATAAATAGGAATTTGTATTTACTATCACTACTGAGCTTTTATTAATGATGCTTAAGAATTTCTAAAAATACCATTTCCTTTTTATCACATCCTTTAGCATTTTTTCTTTTTGTGGTGGAGGGTGACATATTGAGACAAAATTTCCTGTAGGTCAGGCTGGCCTCGAACTCCTGATCTTCTTGCCTCCAGCGTCTGAGCATTGGGATTCCAGGCATACACCACCATGGTCACTGTAATTTTGGTCTTTAGTTTGGTTAGGTCAAGGATTCATACAGCGTGCTAGTACAGTGGCGTATACTTGAAATGTATAAATAAACATGGCTTTCTATGTACTTTGTAGGCACGTATACTCACAGTTTTTATTGATGTTGTGTGTGGTTAAAAAAGCTAAAGGGTCCAGGTATATCGCTCTATGGTAGAGGGTATGTTTAGCATTCACAAAACCCTGGGTTTAAAGCAAATAAATAAATAAATAAATTTAAAGATAACGGTCTGTAATGTGGACACTAAATGTCTCGCGTGGCTCAAGGTGGCCCTGAACTCGGCAGTAGCTGATGATAACCTTGAATTCCTTATCTGCCTTCTTCTGTCTTCCAAGCCCTGAGATTCCTGGCCTGTGGTACCACACCTGTTTTGCTTTAGGAAAGCACTCTTGAATTAAAATTTTTCATTACATGTGACTGTTTTAAGAATTACAGAAACAGCAATTCTGATAATAATGATGATGATGATGATGATAGAGGCGGGGAAGGTGGTTCATTAGGCAATGACGCCTGCCTCCAAGCCCAAGGACAGACCTTTTTGTTTGCCAGGACCTACACAGAGGAAGGAGAGAGCTAGGTCCTACATGTTGTCGTCTGGCAGCCACACACATGTCATGGCACATTCATATATACACCCAGAAATAATTAAATAAATCCAATACAAATCATTCAATTTCTAATGAGCAGCTGTTAATTTTTAAAATCCTCTTACTTGTTTGATTTGGAAAATTCGGTTGGCAGATGTACGAGTGCGGGAAGGCAGAAACTGAAAATTAAAATATAACAGTCAAGCTTGCTTTAATGTTTCCGATTAATAATTCAAAATATGAAGTTAATGTTAATAAATACTTATTGAGTGCCTAATGTACAGTAGCAAGGGCATTTGTTAACTTCAAAGCTGAAAAAAATGAAAATTGGATCTTGACTAAAGCATTGTGCTATTCAGAAGTCTATATATGTCAAAATGAAACAGTTGCTAACAGAAGAAACATGAGACAAAACACCAATAACATTTTTGTGTACTTTGAAATGAATCTGTTTTTTTTTTTTTTTGGTTGGCCCTCATACCCCTCATATAGCTGAGCCCCTCCTCTTCTGAGTGCTGGGATTTCAGGGTACACGACTGCACCCAGCACCACTGCCAGCTTTTCTTTCCTGAGACACTAGGGATCAATGTCATCTCAGTTCTCTTGCTGGTTTTAACCAAGCACTAAAGCTTAGGAAGGGGTGTTACCAGAACAAAAAACACTCACACCGTTATTAAACCAGCAGCTAAGCTGCCACGCATTCAAAGGAAACATGAACAGAATAATTTCATCAAATATCCTAGAATCTTGCTGGCAAAGAGAAATTTTCATAGCATGGGTTGGCTTAAGAGCAAACACTTTCAAGTAGTTTCCAAAATTGTAGCCTTCGTTGCTAAGGTACTTGTTGCCTAGGTCCTTTCTCTTTTTCAGAACTGCTCTCTCTCTCTCTCCTTTTTTTTTTTTTCTGTCTTGTCTCAAAGCTTAGAAAAACCCATGCAAGAGGAGAATGAAAGAACAAGGGAATTTAAGGCTAAGTACAGACACAAAACTTAAAATTCCCCTCAGAATGTATCTCTTCTATCTGTAGCCTGCTTGATTCCTGAAATGCTTGGTAGTGAATGTATCTTTAACTAACTCACAGTCTGTTTTGGTTTTGTTGTTTTTTTTTTTTTCAGTGCTGGGGAATCAAACCTAAGGTCTTGGGTAAGATAGGCATGTGGTCCACCACTGGGCTACCTACTCAGCCCCATTATATACTAAGATCCCAGTAAGTGGAGCATTTCGAAACTATCTAACGAGTACCTATTGTGTGCTACAGCACTTTGCTAGAACCCAAGAATCCAGAGGTACACCTAGTTAGAAAAACCCCACACTGGAGGTCTCCACAAGCCTCACAGAGTAGATAGGAATTCTTGTTCTTACAATTATCGTATTATTGTTAAGTGCATGAGTGTGTGGCCTGCATGCATATAAGTATCCAACACATGTGAGTCTGGTGCCCCGGAAGGTTAGAAGAGAGCTTTGGCTGTGCTGGGACTGGGGCTACAGATGGCTGTGATCCTCCATAAGGGTATTGGGAAATGAATCCAAGTCCTCTTCAAGACAAGCAACTGCTCTTAACCACTGACTCAACAGCCTGAGGTGGGAATTCTTTTTTTTTTTAATTATTCATTTGACATACCAATCACAGTTCGCCCTCCCTTCCCCGCTCCCTCTCCTCCCCACTTCCCCCCAACCCATCCTTATCCACTCCTCAGAAAGAGAGTGGGGAGTCAACAAAGCCTGGCACTTTCAGCTGAGACTGGACCAAGCCCCGCCTCCCCCCATCAAGGCTGAGCAAGGCATCCCACCATAGGGAATGGGCTTCAAAAAGCCATCTCATACACTAGGGATAGATCCTGGTCCTACTGCCAGTGGTCACACAGATTGGGGACTGCTCTAACTGTCATCATAGAACCTTCATCCTAGAGCCTTCATCCAGTAACTGATGGAGGCAGATATAGAGCTCCACAGCCAACCATCAGGCCCAGGTACAGTAGTCCAATCAAAGAGAGGGAAGAGGAATAATATGAGCATGGGCGCTCAAAATCAAGACAGGGAAACCACAGAGACAGCTGACCCGATCTACTGGGAGCTCAGGGACTCCAGACTAACTGCTGGGGATCCTGCATGGGACCGAACTAGGCCCTCTGCGTTTAGGCTATAGTTTTATAGCCTGGTCTGTTTGTGGGAGCCCTGGCAGTGGGAACAGGATCTATCCCTAGTGCATGAGGTAGGAATTCTTTTCTTTCTTTTCTTTCTTTCTTTCTTTCTTTCTTTCTTTCTTTCTTTCTTTCTTTCTTTCTTTCTTTCTCTTTCTTTCTCTCTCTCTTCTCTCTCTCTCTCTCTCTCTCTCTCTCTCTCTCTCTCTCTCTCTCTCTTTTTCTTTTTTTTTTTTTTTGAGACAGGGTTTAGCTTTGGAGCCTGTCCTGGAACTAGCTCTTGTAGACCAGGCTGGCCTTGAACTCACAGAGATCCTCTTGCCTCCGCCTCTCGAGTGCTGGGATTAAAGGTGTGCGCCACCACTGCCTGGCTGAGGTAGGAATTCTTAATGTGTACAGAAGGTATTCCAATGAATAAGACAGAGGCATGTTCCAGGCACAGAGAAGCTCAAGGTGTTGAAAACTTACTGGGAAGAAGTAGCAGGAAATAAAATTGGTGAGAAGTGACTGGAACTGGACTTTACACTTCGATCTTAATAGAAAGCAAAGTATAGGTTTCTCTACACTCTTAAATCTGAAAGGTCTTTTAAACAAGCAAGCTATGTCTGCTTCAAAAGGTTAAAAAAAAGTAGCAGCAATATGTGGGAAAATTCAGTAGCACAGACACCGAGAGCAACAATTAATAAATGGGACCTCCAGAAGCTGAGAAGCTTCTGTAAAGCAAAGGGCATGGTCAACAAGACAAAACAGCAGCCTACAGAATGGAAAAAGATCTTCACCAAACCCATATCAGACAGAGGTCTGATCTCCAAAATATACAAAGAACTCAAGTAACTTGAAATCAAAACAACAAAGAATCCAATAAAAAAAAATGGGGTACAGACCTAAAGAGATAACTCTCAACAGAGGAATTTAAAATGACTGAAAGACACTTAAGGAAATGCTCAACATCCTTAGTCACCAGAGAAATGCAAATCAAAACAATTCTGAGATTTCATCTTATACCTGTAAAATGACCAAGATCAAAAACACTGATGACAACTTATACTGGAGAGGTTGTGGGTGAAGGGGAACACTCCTGCATTGCTGGTGGAAGTGCAAACTGGTACAAGCACTTTGGAAATCAGTATGGCGATTTTTCAGAAAATTAGGAAGCAATCTACCTCAAGACCCAGCAATACCACTTTAGAGTATATACACAAAGGATGCTCAATCATGCCATAAGGACATGTGCTCAACTATATTCACAGCAGCATTATTTATAATAGCCAGAACCTGAAAATAGCCTAGATGACCCTCAGCTAAATAATGGATAAAGAAAATGTGGTACATTTACACAATGGAGTACTACTCAGTGGTAAAAACATAATAACATCTTGACATTTGCAGGCAAATAGATAGATAAAAATAATAGAAAAAACATCCTGAGTCAGGGAACACAGACCCAGAAAGACAAACATAATGCATACTCCCTCATAAGTGGCTTTTAGAGATAAAGCAACAAAATAGCAGCCTGCATTCCATAACCCCAGAGAACCTAGACAACAAAGAGGACCCTAAGAGAGACACATATGCATCTACATAAAAAAGAGAAAAAACAAGATCTCCTGAGTAAATTGAGAATGTGGAGAGGGGAGGAGGGGAGAAGCAAGGAAGGGAGGGAAGCAGAGAAAATTGTATAGTGCAATAAAAAATTTAAAATATTTGGGAAAATTTCAAGTGAAGGAAGGGGTATTAGAAGTAGGGTCTAAAAAGACAGTCATAATATAATATAATATAATATAATATATAAATATTGGGTGTGATGGTGCACACCTATAATCCCAGAACTCAGAGGCTGAAGCAGAAGTATGGGAGTGCCAAGCTAGCCTGGAACACATAGTAAGACTCTGTTTGAAATTAATCTTGCCCCTACTGCACTATATTTATTATTTTGGAGTGAAGAAAATAAAGTTTTACTTAGTGCAAAAATGTGCTTCAAATAAAAACATTTAGAGAGAGCTTAGAGAGAGGGCTTCACAGCTATGAGTGTATATCGCTCTTGCAGAGGTCTTGAGTTCAGTTTCCAGCACCCAGGATGAATGGATGGCTCACAACTGCCTGCAACTCCAGATTCAGGGGCTTGGAGCTTAAGAGCACTGGCTGCTCTTCCAGAGGACCTGGGTTCAATTCCCAGCACCCACATGGCAGCTCACAACTATCTATAACTCCTGTTCCAGGGGATCAGACAACCCTCACACAGACACGCAGGCAGGCAAAACACCAATGCATATAAAATTAAAATAAAAAATCTTTTAAATCAAAAAAAGAAAAAACAGACAAGGAGTGAATTTCCAATGGACAGAAAGTATAATGGGAACAAAATCCAAGTGTGAGTGGACCCTTGTAGGAGTAGGGGACAGAGAGGAAAGGTTTAAGGTAGCACCTGATTTGAGTTGAGCCTTGTAAAAGTGAGGAGTTTGGCAGCATATCCCACAGAAAAGTGAAAATATTTGTAATATTTCAGGCAAAGTATATTAGCCTGATGCGCAGCCAGGAAGGGAGAGGAAGAAGGGAAGGCTCTGTTGCCAAAAGCATTGAAAATGATGGAGAGTTTTATAAGCTATGCTCAAATTCTTAATTGCAGAAAAATAATCTACTCCAGAGGAGCAAGCAGCAGGTTATACCTAGCATCACTATTTATTAGATTTGAAATGGGCATAAGCAGACATTCAGCTCTAAGCATGGCTAGGATGGATGCAGACAAGGAGGCCTGTGACAGCTGTTAGCTAGGAACTCAAACCAGCCTTTTCTAATCATGTTCTTGGCCTGATGTTTCAATAGGAGAGGGGGGAGGGGAGGGGAGGGGAGGGGAGGGGAGGGGAGAGGAGAGGAGAGGAGAGGAGAGGAGAGGAGAGGAGAGGAGAGGAGAGGAGAGGAGAGAAGAGAAGAGAAGAGAAGAGAAGAGAAGAGAAGAGAAGAGAAGAGAAGAGAAGAGAAGAGAAGAGAAGAGAAGAGAAGAGAAGCAGAGGTGGAGAGGCAGAGGCACAACACAGAGA